ATTGATTAATAAATAAGGATGTGTGGGTGATGGGGTGATGGAGTGATGGAAGAGACAAGTGAGAGAGAAGATTGGTGGGTGCGCGTGCAGCTCTCTATTTGTGGGATTGTGGTCATAATGCTTACTGCTCTCCTACCAGTAAACCTTTCCTCTCTTTTTTTTTTTGTCTATTTAGATTAATCCATTCTATGAAATCTTAACCATGAACATATGGTTTTATTTGAAGATATATATATATATATATATATATATATATATATATATATATATATATTTGATGTTTATTCTTCCTCCAAAGTTAAAATAGTTAACTTGTAGTTTGTTGCTATTTTATTCAGATTAGTCCACACTATATGTTGATTTCATTATCTTTGCTTTGGCCTGATCAATTTGACTGAAAGTTGGCTCTAACCCAAAGTAAACCAAACTGTTTTTGGGTATGTTTTAATTTATTTAGTTTAATTTGAATCAATTTTTGTTTATTTCAGTTTAGAGGCTACACCTATATATGTCTGTAATTCTAATCTTTCAAAACATATATCGTGTACATGCTATTACAACTAAATTTTAATGAATCCATGGTAAAAAAAAAAAGGATGAGACATGAGAGATTGTTTTCTAGCGAGAAGCTACCTAGTCCAAAGGATTTGGTTAATAATACATCACAACCAGTCATGGATAAAACTTCATTGAATGCAAAGAGTCTTAAAGGGATATTGAATATAATTGCTGTGTTTTATATATGTCAACCATATGTTAAGAATGGTAAGAATAGTTCTAGTTTTTTTTTTTAAAACTATCTTAAATTAAAAGCTAAGAATAATACTATCTATAGTAATGAAGAAGAAATTTTAAGCATTAGATCAATCGATTATTTTTTCCTTTTTAGTATATAAAGTTATTGACAGATTATCTGGTCCCAATTCCCAAACCCTTTCACCTATAGACTTGTATATTGGTGACTATGTAATAATCGTAATAATTTAGTCTAAATTAAATGGAAACATTGATTATAATAACATCTAACAAATTGAATGGAAGAATTGATCAAAAGGGTATTGTCGGCTCAATTCAACGGATTCATGCATTAACCGAATATATCCAGGGCCGGTCCTTAACTTTAAGTGGCCTAAAGCAGAATTAAGTACATGTGGCCTTCCGTGTATACTGCTAATATTATAAATAAAAAATTTATACTATAAATTTAGAAAGGTATTAAAATGATAAAATATAGCTGATAAAAAATCATTAAATATTTTAACAAAGTAAAACAATTTATGAAAATTAATTTTTCTAACTTTTTTCAACTAATAAGTGAACTAAGGAAAAATAAACCACCAACTAAAAATAGAAAAGTATAAGAAAAAAAGGATGAAAAAGAATGCCAGGAAAAAATAAAAGCAAATAAAGTCAATAGAATGGATCGAACCTGTGTAATGGAACTAAATGTTGGGATAACTAACCACTGCCCTACTTAATACTTTTTAAAATGTGGCCTTATAATTTACATAATATTGTGTGGCCTAAAGCAGGTGTTTTACCTGCTTTATGGACGGGCCGGGCCTGAATATATCCCCCCTTCTTTTTGGTTATATTAAACCAAAACGGATACATAGCTCAACGCCTAAGCGATCGATTTGTTCTATAGTATAGTTTTTTCTTCCACTTACCAAATTAAAGAAAAACCTTCATGCTTTTTAATCATCCGAAAGGATAATTCGGTGTTAACCCATATTTTATCCATTGGAATAAATTACCAATAATTCTAGAATAATTTTGATTATTTTTACTCCAAGAGTATGAATAATTTGGATTAGGTAAAGAAAGTTTAGAGACCAGACCCAAAATACATGTCTAATGAAAACCTCTGAAAACATATTTCATGAATGGAGCTAGGGGCAGTAATATTTGCTTACAAATCAACAACGAGTCGGTCATACTTTTGCTTGTATGTACAGACATGTATAATGAGAAGTATTTTCGTTTGTCAATATGACAGATTATATATATGTAACAGAATTATGTAATAAAAATGGATAATGATCATGCCGGAATTCAGAGTTAGACATAACACTGCATGGAGAATAGAAATGATGTTGAAAGGGCACTTTTGGTATCACGTAACGAAGCATTCATTTCATTCAGTCCTAACTAAAATTGAAAAAAGGAAAAATATATAATTATCAAGTTGCCACGCCTGATCATCTTTTATTTCGTAATTTCCCGCTCGATAATTTTGTTAAACTAGAGATCTAACAACATGTGTTTTTTTTTGTCACGTAACCACATACCACGTTTTGTCGATTTACTTCAATTTTTGCTCTCAGTTAAATAAACATACATACGACAAAATATTAGTATTGTTTTAATGAAGAGTTGACTACTGCTTTAGCCGTGGTCGTCGGCAAATGTTATCAATTTTTATTACGGTTACACCTGCTAAATTTGTACCAAGTTCTTAATCAATCAACACATTTGTTGACATTAACTTGCATGAAAAAAGAAAAAAAGTTCATCTTCTTTCTCAAAATGAATTAAAACTTACAGGTAAAAGAGTTACGTATAGTGATTTTGTAATCTCGATTTGATATAATTAAATTTAGTTGGAAAAAGAAATATAAAAAAAAACACAAAAATGAATATATTAACATATAGCTGTGTACTAAAGAAAGTCTACATTACAAGAGTAAATTCTAGAGTTTAGTACAAAGGGATTCTATATAGTTGCAATGATATTTTTTGTGAGTAGCTCCATAGATTTACTGGATGAATAAGTTGACTTTAAGCATAATCTTACTTGATCTCGATTTCTTAACAAGACTATACTTAGTCTATACAGTATATTTGACGACAAAAACAACAAGAGTATATATTATTTATTTTTATATTACGATTCACAATAATTAATTATGTGCATATCACATGGTTAATGTGTAATGTTGCAGTGATCAGGGTTATTTAGGAATGTAGCATAATTTAACCTAAAAACTAATTTAAGAGTTAAAGATTGTCACATCCTATATATATTGCCCAAAGATCTTAATCTTAGCAATGTGAGACATTCTAATAGGCCTTCTCGAGATGTGGGTGGGAAACAGTCCAACGGAAAACAGTCCAAGCCCAACATTTCGGAAATTCAACAAAACATGCCACTTGTATGAGCCACATAGGTGAAAAACCATTTTTGTGGGAAATTTGCTTGTTTGGCCAACCTGGCTCTGATACCATATTAGGAAGGTGGCCTAACTTAATCCAAAAGCTAGTTCAAGAGTTAAAGGATTGTCACATCCTATATATATTGCCCAAATATCTTAATCTCAAGAAATATGGGACATTCTAATAGTGGCCTAACTTAACCCAAAAGCTAGCTCAAGAGTTAATGATTGTCACATCCTATATATATTGCCAAAAGATCTTAATTCCAAGCAATGTGGGACATTCTAATAGTCATTGGTAGTGGACAATTATAAGAGTGTTTAATTTTGATAAACTGTTTTCAACTGGTTGAATACAATCCCAAGTAACAAATTTCAATGTAATATATTTATTTTCTATATCTGAAAAATTGAAACGCTGAACCAAACTGAAAAGAATACTAATATTTTTAACATTGAATTTATTTGAAAAAAAATATTCATTAGATTAAAACCGCATTCGATGTAAAACTAAAACCGATAAATATTTTAAATTAATTATATTTTGGTATACGATTATTAATCGAAATTCCGAAAAATCAAATAATTTAAAGAGAAGAAAATCGAAATCTGTATAAAACATACCAAGAAGTGTGGTGATGATGGACTAGCGACTATTGATAAATACTGGTCCGTCTCGATTAAAATTTATCTCTCAACCTATAGCTATACCCATTTTCTCTTTTGGTGATCACTAAATTATGTATGATTATATATCTTTTGTTTCAACTTTATTTATTAAGTTTTAGCAGTCTCGATCCCTTTCTGGATATGACCAAACTAGTTGTGGTCAAATGAATTGAGGGGTAAATGGTGAATGATTCTTATTAAGGCAACAAAATGGAGTCTACTTATGATTCAAACTTTAATAAGGTCTCTCTAAAGTTAGCCCCCCAACAAAATCATCTTCAAATTAGCACACGATTTATCATTTCTCTTTCCAACAAAAAAAAAAAAAGAGCTTCAATTCCAAATTTTTATCTTATTGTCGGAAAAATATCTCAGGCCGTTATTCTTATTAATTTAACTAGTATACCATGATTTTCCTACAACTTGAATAATAGTATATATTTTGTTGTATAAACACGAACTTTTTAAAAAATCAACAAAAAAGGGGAACTTTTGCGGGTTCTGTCCATCCGCACTCCAATGAGACAGAGTAAACCTTAAAATTTAGATCAAGAAAGCCCATAAACAAAAAAGAAAAAAATTATAGTATAAAAAAAAAATGCGACCCATTTTTTCAAGATACAAGGCATGCTCACCAACTAGTAGGGGGAAAATAATGCTCCGTCTAATTATGTACTTTGTTAAAATGAAAGTTATATACTAGTTTACGTGCATATATGTCTTTATATATGTATATATTGAAGAGATTAATTTAACCTTTTATGTGCATTAGCGATTGTTTGATACGCAAGCCACTAAACTTGATGTTTCTTGCAGACACTTGTTCCATTGCCTTCCCAGGTCTTTTGTGTCTTGTCCACGATATAGTGTGTGTGTGGCTAATCAGATATATTATTTAATATGAGCAACGTAAAGAAAGATGGGTCCTTTATTTTTGGAATGATGAGTGTAGTGATACGTAACGGGTGATTGGAAGTTTGGAACCAATGTAGGAGAGGCTGATTACCTATTTTTTTTTTATATAATAAAATGTCGAATTTATTGGAAAAGAATAACGTTTTTACATTAAGTGTATCGTTTGGTAAAAATATTACATAGAAATTTCTAATAAAACTACTTTTCTTTATGTTTATTTTGAATCAAACCAAGTTTCCATACATCCATCGTTTTTTTTTTTTTTTACCCATAATATTTTATATCTCTTTATTCGCATATAAAGAAGATCCGGGTTCCAAACTTGTTTGTCGAGATCTCAAAGCAACTGTGTTGGTGGCAATGGTGTTTCTCCATGTTTCATGTTGTTCTGTCCTCTCTATATTGTAAACACGGTTTTTATTTTCGTAATATTTTTTTTGCTGAATATATTTTTATAGGTCAAGTTCGATAGTATTTGTTTGTGTTGTATTTTCGTTTGCTAAAATATTTTTGAACTTTCCTTTAGGTTTGTTTTATGTATCAGATCGTTCACAAATATTGACATCCATGAAATAACAAAGAAAATGATATTACATTTGAGAATTTTATGGACAAGCTCATTTGATCAATAAACCTGCGCAATGATCGTTTACTTGAGAAAGTATATTAACTCTTTGAAATTTCTTTCTTCAAAACATATCGATTCCAATAATTTTTTAAAAATCCGTTTCCACGTTTACAACCAAAACAGCTTCCGATTTCATGCAATTTAGGCAAAAAAATATACATTTAATATATTTATTAAACCGATTTAATTAATTACTCATATATATTTTATCAACTTCAAACCCTAGTATTCATTAGGAGAAATAAACTCTCCCCTTTAAATTTTTGGATGGCATAAACCACCTCTAAAAAACTGTTAATGAATGACATCAATTAATGTCATCAATCTTTTAATAACATGATTGGTAGCTTTTGTAGCGAGACATTTTATGGCTAACATTTGGAATGACTAAATATAATCCATTTCGTAATTCAGTAAGTTCAATGATCCAAAATAAATGATTTTCACAATTTCATAGTTCTTTTTTTTTTTTTTTTTTTTCGAAGGAGTTAAACCATGTTTCTTGGTATAATTATTATGTAGTCTATTCTACATTTTGTTTCTTTTCATGTTTTTGCATTTCTGCAATATTATCAACTAGAACTAACAAATCAGTCCTGCAGTATTATCAACTAGACCTAATGGAAGATGAAGATAAAGAAAGATTTAATATTTAAAAATAGAAGAAAAAACATCCAAATTTGCATGCGCATACATAATCCATAAATCTCCTTCTGATTACAGAACACAAGAAAACAGAACAGAATCAGACGCACACTAACTAGATCTCTCACATACACAGATACATACATACATACATACACACAAACTCTCATCATCTTTCTCGTTCATTATGCTTACAATCATGATTCTTGGTCTCTTAACCCGCATGCTCCTTCTTCTCTATCCTCCAAAAACTCTCCTATAAATACCACTTCTCTCCCACTAATCACCACTACCTCTCACTTCTCTCTATACACACACACAAACACATTTCCCCTGCTCTGTTCTTGCAACTTCCTCTGTTCTAATCGTAACATCTTCTTCTGATCTTTGCAATGGCAGTGTCTGGGTTCGAGGGTTTCGAGAAAAGACTCGAACTTCGGTTCTTCGACGATGACAAACCAATCACCAATAACCCTATGGGACTCCGTCTAATAGACTTCGAATCTTTAGACCAAGTCTTAAACGAAGTACAGTGTACGGTTGTCTCCGCCGTAGCGAATCGTAGCTTCGACGCTTACGTTCTCTCTGAGTCAAGCCTCTTTGTCTACCCAACAAAAATCATCATCAAAACATGTGGTACCACGCAACTCCTCAAATCAATCCGACCGTTGATCCATCTCGCACGTAACCTTGGCCTCACGTTACGCGCGTGTCGCTACTCGCGCGGCAGCTTCATCTTCCCTAAAGCTCAGCCTTTCCCTTACACAAGCTTCAAAGACGAAGTCATCGTCGTCGAAGAAAGCCTTCCCAAATCTCTCTGTTACCGTAAAGCCTCTGTTATGACGCCTTCTAATAACCCCTCACGTGCTTGGCACGTGTTCACAGCCAGCGCTGACGTGGAATCCGACGAGTCAGTCGTTGTCGTTGAAGTATGTATGACGGAGCTCGACAGAGTCAACGCTCGGAGCTTCTTTAAACGGAAAGGCGACGAGAAAAACAATAGTGATTCCGCAGGGAAAGAGATGACGCGGCTGAGCGGTATCGATAACATAAACGCAAACGCGTTTATATGCGATTTCGCTTTTGATCCTTGCGGTTACTCGATGAACGGCGTCGACGGAGACCGTTACTCAACTATCCACGTAACGCCTGAAGACGGTTTTAGCTACGCCAGCTTCGAGTGTGGTTTGTCTCTCTACGACGACGGTCACGAAGATATCTCTGAGGTTTTAAGCCGGGCCATTGATGTTTTCCGGCCAAGTGACGTCTCGATCGCCACCACTTACGGCGGCGAGGATTACAACCACGAGGTGACGAAGCGCGTGGAGCGCTTGTTGGCTAAGAAGCTTGGTCTTAAGTGCCGAAGCCGTATTATGGATGAGTTTCCAGGCTCCGGAACAGTCGTTTATCAGTCGTTCACGCCTCGCCGGAAATAGTCTTCGCCGGCGGAGTAAAAAACGAAAAAAAAAGGTTTTAATTAGGTTTAAATTAGCTGAGAGGAGAAAAAAAAAACAGGTGATGACGTGGATGGAGATGATTGGTTGATTTGGGTTTAAGGAGGGATATAAGTGGGAACATATATGATCATGCACCCCACTTTGCGCTTGTGGCAATGTCACGCCTAAGCATTTTTGAGGTTCAGTGTTGTAGAATTTTAGTGGGGGAGGGTAAAAATGGTTTGGTCTGTTTTTTTGTTTCTTTCTTTTATTTTCTTTCTTTTCTTCTAATGTTTGTTTTTATATTTTCCATTTAAATTATCCTAAATCTCTATATCAGACTGTTGATATACGGTTTTAAACTTTTAATCGGTCTTACTTTATATGGTTACAAATTCATTCACCACCCTAATTAGTCATAAGAAGTATTTTTACGTAAAAGTAAACTAATCATGCTGTCAAAATATGTTGTAAAACAACTTCGATAGATCCTTCTTAACTACTGTTCGATATGTTTTGTCGTTACCAAACATATCTTAAGTCAGGATTAGCACCACAATAATATTACCGACACTAATATTTGACGTTACAAATTCGTTCAAGTTATTGTTAGCATCGTTGTTTACTTTTACAAATTTGTAGTATTGACGGCTGTATAATTTTGTTGCTTGTCTCCGACTCCGACGTTTGTCATTTTAATTTGTCACTGATTCTAGCGCAAAACTTCTACTATACCGAACCCGGTCACGTATTCAGGTTCAACTAATGAACTGAATCAAAAACTTATGCACAAATTTTTGGGGTCCAAAATTTACATAATATTGTAGGATTAGCCGTTGGCGGCCTAAGGCAAATGTCTTTTTTTTTTTTTTTTTTCTTAATGCGTTTGACATTTAACATTACGAAAAGTCAAAAGAATGAAATAAAAAATTGCCACACTACAAAAATTAAAATGCAATAAATAAAAAACTCATAGTTAACAAAAGAAAAGGCAAGAAAAGTAAGGTTACACTTTTTGTTGCTGACCATTTAAAAACACAATAAATATTGTTTAATACTCCTCATATATGTTGGGGAGGAGTAGTAGTATGTAATTACTTTTAATAATCGCGCATGTAAATTTTCCCACCCCAACATATCAAAATCCAGTTTGCACGTGACAATAATGGGCTAAAAAGTAAACCAGAATTTTTATTATTTCCACTGTCAAAACATACTTATCTCCAGTTCATAAGCAGTAACCAAACTCAATCTTTCAAAAAGCTTCTTTGCTCTTCTTCAGTCACCAGTCAATTCGTATAATTTCGTACCATCAGACGGTTTCATGCTCTAATCAATAACAAAGAGAAGCAGCATGGAACTATAAGAATATAGCTTTTGGGAGAGTGATGCACAAAGGTTCTTTCTTTGCAAAGGAGTCATATGTAATAAAAACCAAATTTAACTAGGAAGACAACAAACCAAGCTGTCTGAAGTCTGAACAACACCACCATTGCTGTTTTCTTCTGTGAAATAATAAGCCTATGACACTTTAAGTTAAGTCTCAAGAGAAAGATTCTGTGCAATGAACCAAAATCAACGAGCAACAAAACAAAACCAAGATTACATAGTATGAAAGCTTGTACATTTTGGAACACAATCAGAGGAAACCGTTCTTTTATTCAATTTTTGCAAGACCGTGAACATATAAATGTCATACTTATATGGTTTCTCTATAAGAAGAAAGTAACTAATCAGGTATTGGCTCATCTCTATCATTTCTTCATTCTCCTTTCATGACATTCCTTCAAAGCTTGAACATCTTTAACCAAATTACAACAACAACAAAAGCTAATCAACAACATTGTCAATAAAACTGCCCTCACCTAAGTAAAATCCAATCAATCCATCAGTTCTTTGATCAATCAACTAGTTCCTCACTCAGATTAACTAGTCAACAATAATCCCAATTTCATTCGAATAGGTAAAAAACCCTCTAAAACACTCAGATTTCAGAATTTAAAAATTGAGATAGAGAGAGTGACGTACGTTTTTGGCAAGACTTCCAGTCCCTGTTGCTATCAACAAGACAATCCTACAAAATTAGGAGAAAACAAATCGAAATCAACGATTTAAGGAATTCGATTGGGGGAAATCAAAGAGGTGAGAAACACAAACCTGTAAAGACAAATAGAGAGAAGAACACTCCTTGAGCTGTTTCACATTCTCGTCGTCGTCGTCTGCATCCATTTGATGATTCGGCGGAGGAGGAGGTTGCGTCTCGGAATTGGGATTCTCCGTCACTCTCTTCTCCATTTTGGTGTTCTTCAGCAGACAAGAAGATTCAGAAATCCAAAGTCTCCGTTTTAAATTAAGGGCATCTTATTCTTTTGGGCTTTTATTGAACCTAAAGCCCAGGCCCGTTTAGTTGTTGTATTGTTTATTTTTTCACTTTTTATTATAAGAAGAAGCTTTCTTCATAAGTGGTCAACATGTAGATAAGTCGAAGACTCGAAGTTGAACAAAAGACAAGATTGTTGTCTCAAAATGACTTCAGCTCCACTAACCTTTGTCGGGTTACTGTGCCACGTGGCGTTAACCCACCAACGTGGGAGCTATCACAATCAATTGTGATTAAACTATCACTCAAACAATTTTTTTCCATTCTTGAATATCGAAGAAAATGTCATTGTTTTTGTTGCAAACCAATTTGACAACTAAAAGTCTAAAACGACATTTATATTTCGTCTAAAATTAGGATTTTTAACGTTTATCAAACTATGGAGAATATTCTCTGGCAATTTTCTGTCTAAAATGCAAAAATGGATTTTATATTAGATCTAAAATTAAGAAAGAGAGAAGAGGCGGATTTTCAGTTAATAACAGAAGAGAAGATGAGGTGGTGTAAGAGAAAACCAATGATCATGGTTACTTTCTCTCTCTTTCCTTAGTCTTTGATCTCTTCTCTCTTTCTCTCTCTTTCCCTTTTTTGTCTCATTTTTTGTCTTCAATCCATGGAAGGCCTTCGAGACTCATCCTCACAAACTCTCTCTTCCACGACGTCGTCTTCTTCGTCTCCCTCCTGGTAATTTTTCTTTCATTTTTTTCTACAGATATACTGTTTGATTGTTTCAGAAACATCTTCAAGATTTGCAAATGATTTTGTACCGTGTCTCACAAGTCATTTCATATGAAAATATACAACCTCAGCGATGTAGACGTTGAGAATCGTGGAAAAAAATTAACTCCTCCATCTACAAGAAGATCTCGAGCCGGTTTCTCTGATTCTTTCTCTTCTCATGGTAATTAATAATAAATGCATCATTAGGTACTTTTACAAAGATCTCATTGACTTGAGATTGTCCTTGTCCTTGTCCTTGGCATGAATTTCGTTTTCTGTGCAACAGATTTATCATCATTCTGTCGAGATGAAGAAATAACAACATTCTGCCCCATCAAATCGGAATCAGACGATGACTTATTAAGGAGCATAGAATCCGAAACTTCATCTTCCGTGGTGAGCACGTCAGACTCATCATCATCAGAAGCTCATCACCATCACCGTCATCATCATTCGTCTGGAGGTCCCAACAACGGTCACTGGAGAAGAGGTTTCTTCCGATTACTTAAGAAAGGATCATCCGCAATGCCATTCAACACGTTCACACCTCTCAAAGGAGTTCCGAAACTGACCAGACGGAAGAGCAAACGCATAAGGGACAACATGGTTCCCGTTATACCTGCTCTTGACACTGATGACTTGTTCTACTTCAAACCCTCCTGGAGGAACTTCTCTCTCCAAGATATTCAAACTGCCACAAATGACTACAGCCGTGGTCCGGAAACCTCTAAAGAACCCTTTGTTACATTTTCACTAGATAAATGCTTGTTTATGAAGTGATGTAACATGAACACATGTGGATATTATGGCAGAAAATCTGATCGGAGAAGGAGGATATGCAGAGGTGTATAAGGGACAAATGCCAGATGGGCAAATAGTAGCTATAAAGAAGTTGACTAGAGGTTCTGCAGAAGAGATGACGATGGATTATCTGTCCGAACTTGGGATCATAGTTCATGTAGATCATCCAAACATTGCTAAGCTTATTGGTTATTGTGTTGAAGGAGGAATGCATCTTGTTCTTGAGCTATCTCCTAATGGAAGCCTTGCTTCTTTGCTCTACGGTGATAGTTCCTTTTGTTTTGATGTTTTCCAATGTCATCTCAAACTATAATTTGGATCAAAAACCTAACAAAGATCCTTGTAACATTTTGTAGAGGCGAAGGGGAAATTGAATTGGAGCATGAGATACAAAGTGGCCATGGGAACAGCAGAGGGACTGTACTATCTCCATGAAGGTTGTCAGAGAAGGATCATTCATAAAGACATTAAAGCTTCTAACATCCTTCTCACTCAGAACTTTGAGGCTCAGGTAATGTATTAATTAAGGAAAACCTAAGATCTTCATATATACCTAATACCCTAATTAATAGTCTTTTAAAGATATGATTATGAAACAAGCATGAACTCAAAATCGCCTCTATTTTTTTTTGCGAACAAATGATGACTGTAGATATCTGATTTCGGGCTAGCGAAATGGCTACCGGACCAATGGACTCACCATACTGTATCGAAAGTCGAAGGAACATTCGGGTTTGGAATCTCTCTCTTTGTTATATTAGATCATATATGCGGATTGAATAATCTTTTGTGTTTCATAATATATCTCTATCTCGTATATATATGTTCATCGAGCAGTTACCTTCCACCGGAGTTCTTCATGCATGGGATAGTAGACGAAAAAACAGACGTATATGCTTATGGTGTCCTGCTTCTAGAGCTCATTACCGGTAGACAAGCTCTCGACAGCTCACAACATAGCATTGTCATGTGGGTATGTGATGTAGCCCTCTCTTATACCCTAGCTAGATAGAATCCTGATCTCGTATACTTTCTTTAAAAGCGATTGATTTTGTTTCCATTGTGAAATCAGTAACATGGGTCATCTATGTTTTTGTAGGCCAAGCCATTAATCAAAGAGAACAAGATCAAACAACTTGTTGATCCGATTCTGGAAGATGACTACGACGTAGAAGAGTTGGACCGTCTTGTCTTCATAGCTTCCTTGTGCATACACCAAACCTCCATGAACCGGCCTCAGATGAGCCAGGCATGCATAACAAAACATTTAATACCATCATTTAGTAACCAAGTTTCTTTTACTATGAAGTGATTAATTAATTTGATCACATATATAATGATGTTTGTTTATGATTATACAGGTTGTGGAGATTCTGAGGGGAGACAAGTGCAGCTTAGATAAGCTAAGAGAGCGAGAAAACTCCAAACTCCAGAGGACTTACTCTGAAGAACTATTGGATAACGAAGAATACAACTCGACACGATATTTAAACGATATTCATCGACACATGGAGACCGTTCTCGGAACATCTAAGGATTCTTGAAATGTCCTAGTTGCTAAATGCAAGACAAAAATTTCATTGAGTCCATATTTGTTCACTATAGAATTTCTATGATTGCTGAGGATTGCGAGATGAATCCGATCAGGATTGGATATTAAGTTAGAAGAGAAAGGACTGAAAAAGTTCAATATTGCTAAAAATACGTTGTACCTTGGTGTATGTATTTGGTCATGGTCATGATCTTGATGTATTGATGTTGTGTTCTTTCCTTTTTCCCATATTTGACTTCAACTATTGTTTGTTATTGTTTTTTTGTATGAATTTTTGTTCCTCGTTTCGTATTCACCTACTATTTAGGAAAAGACGCGGATTAGATATCTTGAATATTTATGGTCCGTTTTACTAGTTCGTTTTCAACAAGTATTCGATCCACTCTACTCTAGAAATAACTAAAAAATGTACCAAAAATTACAATTTCATAAAAACCTGGAAAAAAAGTACAAACATAAAATAAATTCCGCCATTTTTGAAAGTTTCTTTAGTTAATTATTTTTCAAATGTTTCCACAATTTTATTATACAATCTTTTTTTTTTTCTTTTCTCAACCACAATTTTAGGTCTCCGTAATCGGAAGGAGCCGGTTCGGTTCATAACCATTTCCCATCGAGTGATAAAAAAAATAAAATCTCAAAAAACCGAAACGCAAGCGACGTGTGCGTTTTGTCATATCGTTAGGCAGAGCTTAAACTTGTCATCACCGTTGAACACTTTCCCGAGAAAAAGCTTCTCTCATCGTCTTTTATTTTCCCGGAAAAAAAAAATCAAAATTTTTACTCTCTTCCGATCTCCTTTCCTTCTACCGACTCTCCAACATCTAGATCCAAGCGATTTCGATGGCTCACCGTGGATTATTGTTGTTGTTCTTTGCTATCTTCTCCGTCCTGCTTCAATCTTCCACTTCCCTGATTAGTTCCTCTAGCGTCTTCATCAATCCTTCCAAAGTCAAGCAGGTTTCATCGAAACCCAGGTTTCCTCAAAAACCCTTAACTGATTTTGGGAATTTCAAAACTTTGAATGTTAACAATTCTGAAAAATTCGATTTTTTATTTTCTTGTGTTCAGGGCGTTTGTGTATGAAGGGTTTCTCACGGAATTGGAATGTGATCATATGGTTTCTCTTGTGAGTTTTTTTTTTCTTGATTCATCTTCGGTTTTGAGCTTAATTTGGAAACTTCTCTTTGTTAAGATTCTAAATTTCGATGTGTTGAAAAGGCAAAAGCTAGCCTGAAGAGATCTGCTGTTGCTGATAATGATAGTGGAGAGAGCAAATTCAGCGAGGTTCGAACCAGCTCTGGCACGTTTATCCCCAAAGGAAAGGTTCGATTTTTCCTTTGTTTGCTTCCCTAATTCCAAGTTGAAAACTGGATCTCTCTCTCAGACATGTTCAATTTTGGAATAGATCGTGTTTCTTAGCTTTTGCAAATGACAGATTTGATAGTTCAAACTTTAATGTGTGACCAGCTTATGCTCCTTAAGCAATCTGTGACATTTATCCTTTGAATAATTGGATCATGGGCTTTGGAAGATTGTCCTCATGATATTGTTAGATTGTTACTTAGCTAACAAATTAATCCCGGACTTACTTAAGTTTTTGTGTCTAAATGGTAATCAATTATGAAATTTTCTGGATTCAGATCTGTAAATGTTGTGTCATTGTTATGATTACCTTGATCTGTTGCTCTATCACCTGAAGTTTTCTCTGGTGAATTACAGGATCCCATTGTTTCTGGTATAGAAGACAAGATCTCCACTTGGACATTTCTTCCAAAAGGTACAATACACTCTGAATTTTTTAAAAAGGTCACAACTAAGAGTATTGAAAAATCTTGAAAGCTCAATATGTTGAGTTCTTGAAAGATTTCAGAAGATATTCTTCATTAAGTTCTTTACTTTTCGTGGTGACAGAAAACGGGGAAGACATTCAGGTATTGAGATACGAGCACGGTCAAAAATACGACGCTCACTTTGACTACTTTCATGATAAAGTCAACATTGTCCGTGGTGGACATCGCATAGCAACGGTTCTTATGTATCTATCCAATGTGACGAAAGGTGGAGAAACCGTATTCCCTGATGCGGAGGTTAGTGCTATCGATGAGTTTTTGCTTAACATTTTCCCCAAAAGATCACTCTTGGGTCATTCTCTCTTATAAAGATCTGATTCTTATAGGTACCTTCTTGCCGAGTACTCTCTGAAAACAAAGAAGATCTTTCTGATTGTGCTAAGAGAGGAATCGCCGGTGAGAAACAAAACCGATAATAATACTACTTCTTTTCCTGGAAAGAAAGAAAAAGGTATAAGTAGAAAATTTACATCTTTTGTGGCTGTATGGGTATCAGTGAAACCAAGGAAAGGGGATGCTTTGTTGTTCTTCAACCTCCACCCAGACGCAATTCCAGACCCATTGAGCCTTCACGGTGGATGTCCCGTGATCGAAGGAGAGAAATGGTCGGCAACAAAGTGGATCCACGTGGACTCATTCGACAAGATTGTGACACCAAGCGGAAACTGTACGAATATGCACGAGAGCTGTGAGAGATGGGCAGTTCTTGGGGAATGCACAAAGAATCCAGAGTACATGGTTGGAACTACAGAGCTTCCTGGCTATTGCAGGCATAGCTGTAAGGCTTGTTAGACTTGATTTTACCTCTTCTTCTTCTTGTTCTGTGCCATAAAACTCTCAAAGTTTTCTGTTTTTTTTCGGAGTTTCTTTTGTTGTTGTTTCTTGTAGAGTTGTTGTCGTTAATGAACTTTGTTCTAAGGGGAGTTTTGTAAAACTATAACTGTTCCTGAAAAGAATATAATGTAAACACATAGATTCAGTCAAATACTTTATAGGTTATGTAATATGTGTGTTTTTCTTGGTATTGTCAACTAAGTACCATGTCTGGCCAGTGGCGTCAACTAAGTACCATGTCTGGCCAGTGGCACAAACCGTTTAAGGTATCACTCTTTTCTCGTATTGTTGCAATTTCTGTGGAGTATTATTGTCGTTGATAAACGTCTCTGGAAAAGAGCTCTGTACTAACTCGGTTTTTGTCTAATCAAGCATTGATGTTTCTGAACTTGGTGGTGTGTTCCATTTCTTTCCCTGTTCTTCAAAGCTTCCTATGACTGCAGATTGTTTCTTATCATCGAGTCTAGAAGCAAAACTCACATAGCAGCCTCTGAGATCTACTCTTTCGAGTATCTTTATTTGTTTTCCACGCAGTTTATCAATCAATATCTGACCATCTTTTGATTCATCCCCTTCAGCGATTACTTTTATGTGCTCAACTCGCAGTTTCGGCTTCAATGAAGCGTGATCTCCTCCCAAGAAAACTGCTCCAAGAATTTCCCCTAAGAACATGTCCTGCAACAACATTGTAGGGTTAGTTTGAAAACTAGACGAGAAATCTTGATAGTTTTTTTGCCTTTGCGTGTTTGAAAACAATCAAAGCCAAAATCATTTTTGTCTAAGATGAAACAGAATGAGAAGAGAGGCTTTACTATGTGCGTGTATCTCCTGTGATTCTGATGAAGAGCTTGCAATCTTGCAAGCAGCCGTTTCACAAACCGAGCTTCCGGTGTTTTCGCCGAGGAATAGAGTTTATTAAGCATTGGTTGAAAAGAAAACTTGCGTTGGGTTGCTAGAGGGATGAGTATGATGTTTAGACCTGATTCAAGAATGGTCTTAGCTGCTAAAGGATCAAGAAACATATTGAATTCAGCATATGCATTCGAAGGAACTGTGAATACGTTCCCTTTGTCAGATTTTTCACGGCTTATATGTCCACCGACGATGTAAACTTCCTGCAATTTACAACAGAAGCCATCTATTACATCTCGGATCTTGATGGAATTCATCAGAGAGAGTATCAGAAGTTCTTGCCTTGATTAGCGAGGGTGATTTTTTAACTGATGAGATAATCTTGGCTAAGCTAGTCAACGGTCCATTGGTTAGTACAGTGATCTTTGACACTTCATTAACAGATTTGGTCAGATTTTGCCAAACTTCAAGTGCCAGAGGTTGTCGGATTTCAGTCCGATCAGTGTCCCTCGGAGCTCCATTTGCCACTGAGTTCTCTGCAGTGTTTCTGAAGTGACATTACCAACACTGTTTTGCTGCATGGTGTATATTGCTACATGGTGTATATATAGGTACCTGCGAGGGCTTCTTGGGAGGTCACGAGCAAGACCATAGAGAGTGTCGGAATCAAGAAAACCACCACAGCCTTGGGGAACCGCTTTGGCGTACTTGCAGTCTCCAGCAGATGGAAAACCCGGTTCAGATTGGTTCAAGGCGAACATATCTCCTAGACCGATCGGAATGTCATCGCGTCCCATCATATGAAGAAGATCGTAGACCACATCAATTGTCGCTGCATTAGCCCAACCAGTTGGGCTCACGATAACCGCCTGGAGAATTCAGACTGATGAGAGAGCTGAAGTGTTACTTGTGTAAAAAGCAATAGTTATTTTATTAGGGTTACTTTTTCACCTAGTAACTTATGTAGCAAGAAATGATTTTAACCCCTTACCTTCAAATCTATAATTTCCACTGGAACTTTAAGGAGATAGAAGAGAGAGAGGAAATCTCCGGCGCTCATGTCCATATCGAAAATAACAGGCTTTCCTCCGAGCTGTGTGTTACTAAGATTTGCTATGAACAATTCTTCTCTATAGTACAGAAACTGAGTTGAAAAGTTAAACCTCCCTGTTTCTCCAGGCCTGTTCAAAACCTGTTCATTATATAAGTGACTCGGTTAACATAAAAGAAACATTTTTGATCTCTCATATATTTTTAGGGCAGATTAGATTATATTGGCCTCATGAGAACATAAAAAACTTACTTCCAAAAAGTCGTCATAGAACTCTCTATCCAGTTCACTGTTGAAGTTCTTGCTCGGTTTAGCTCGTGTTGCGACAAGTACACGAACTGAATCAGGCCCGAAGGTCTCTTTTGTGTAACCATCCTAATTTGAGCATAAATAAAAGAGAGATTGATTGCATTTTGTACTCTAAAACTGAAAAAGGTTTAGGGAAACACGTGTATACCTTGCAGTTTCCTTTTCCGCTTCTCGATATGCAGATTGGGTCGCGCAAACCCCTCTGAACATGACCACTGTGAACTCCTCCAAGGGTTAGGTTAAACTTTGGAGTTCTTTTTTTATAAAAGAATGGATTTGAACTGTCGGGTATTCCATAAGGTTCGTTTGAAGTAACAATGGTTATGTTCATATACTCCATCTCCGCGAAATCATTCTCACCTTTATTGTTGTTCTTATTACTATTACCAGAGTTTCTCATGATCGAAACTGCAATGCCAGCCGTGAAAGAATCCCACATGAAGTACCGCTGAAAACAATCCAAATCAACTTAGACAACTTTCAAACATCTTGATGGATTCTAAAGGAAACAAAAATGATAATTAAGTAACAAAGTGTCACCGTATAGAATTTTTCGGGTAACAAAGTGTCCCTGATGATTTTCAGAGACGAGAAAATGTATTGAGCTTCGTATGTTCTTTGATTCTTCTCGAATGTCTCAAAGAACTTTTTGTTAATTGGTATTGTATTGGTCGCATCTAAAGGAACCATAGTAATCGGAACACCTGAATGAAACACCTGTAATGAACACATAACACATGACATTAAACAACATTGAAGAAACACAAAACACATGCATTACTATAATATCTTTGACTGATCTTAAAACCTGGTAAGCAGCGAAAGGATCAGTGAAGATGTTGAATTCAGCGTAAGGATTACTTGTGAAATCTGTGAACAAGTTCCCACAGAATCCGGTGGGGTTTGGACAGCGTACACTACCACCCATAACGTAAATGTGTTGGATGTTATGTTTGAGGTAAGGAGTTGACATCATGAAGAGAGCGAGATTGGTGTGAGAACCGATCACGAAGATGCTTATTGGACCTTGAGAAACTTTGTCGAAGATTACTTTTTGTGCCGTTGGTTGCTCGAGAGGAGTGTATCTTCTGTTCCCCTGTTTTATGTACAACTTTTCGTTACATAATAGCATTAACTTTCCTTTTTTGGTGATTTATTTGTTGACATCATATTTTAATTATTGCACACAAAAAAAAAACATATTATAATTATTTATCAGTAAAGAAATTCAGTGAGGAAAACAAATTAAAACAGAGTGATCAATGGCAAAACATATCATGAACCACATGACTAAAAAACATCTTTGAAATAGAAATATATGTCAGAAGATCAACAGTTATCTCCAGTCTCCACCAATATGTGGTCTAATTGGACAATTTAATTTTGGGAGACTCACAAAAATGCCCCTTTTTCAATACCCCTTTTCAAAAATGCCCCCTATGGATGTCCATTTTTAAAAATACCCCTTTTATGTATAAAATGACTAAATTACCCTTCTTTTAATAAAAGATATCATAAATATATAAGGAAATATAACAAAATTAGGTCCACAAAATACAAAATATTTTTTGGCGGGAAAAGTGATCCCCCAATTTTTCCCGCCAAAACACTTGTAAAAATTTGTAAAACCTTTAAAATACCTTGTAAAATTTTCCCGTAAAATTTTTTCCCGCAAAATTCCGCAATTTTTTTGGCGTTAAATTTTTGGCGGGAAAAATTTTCTCGCCAAAAATTTACAAGGTATTTTAAAGGTTTTTTACAAGGTATTTATAAGGTTTTACAATGTATTTTAAAAGGTTTTACAACGTATTTACAAGGTATTTATAAGATATTATAAGATTTTACAAGCTATTTTATAAGGTTTTTACAAGTTATAAGGTTTTACAAGTTTTTTATAAGGTTTTACAAGTTATAAATACCTTATAAAACCTTAAAAGTCCCTTGTAAAACCTTTTAAAATACATTGTAAAACCTTACAAAACACTTGTAAATACCTTGTAAAAAACCTTTAAAATACCTTGTAAATTTTTCCCGCCAAAAATTTTCCCGCCAAAAAAATTTTGCAAAAAAAATTGCGGAATCACTTTTCCCGCAAAAAAAATTTTTTGGCGGGAAAATTTTTTGGCGGGAAAAATTTTTACGGGAAAATTTTACAAGGTTTTTTAAAGGTTTTTACAAGTGTTTGGCGAGAAAATTGCGGGATCACTTTTTCCGCCAAAAAATATTTTGTATTTTGTGGACCTAATTTTGTTTCAAATAAGGGTAAAATAGTCATTAAAAATTAAAAGAGGGCAAACTTAAAAATAAACTCTCAAAGGGGGCATTTTTGAAAAGGGGTATTGAAAAAGGGACATTTTTAACAATTTCTCTTTAATTTTTATTGTTCTAAACTAACAAAAAGAAAGACGCATCTAGAATTCTAGACCTAAATTATCTTATTGAGAGAATAAAATACCAGAGGAAGAAAATGTTTACGAAATCCATAATTGGAGTCAACGTCGAGTAGGCCTTTATGACCTTTTGGAATGGATTGTCTGTATCTGCATCCTCCTGCTGTTGTCATCCCCTGAAATCAAAAATAAATTTAATATAGTTTATCATAAAAATATGAAACTTTTGAAAAGATTATACAATATATTTTTATATGTATATATAGAGTAAATTTTTGATATAATTAATTTTAACATATAGAAATATATTTTTGTTTGTTTATCAGCCCTATAGAGAGAAAAGGACCAAGTATTCATAAATAAAAAAAAAATTTCTATGGATCATATTGATTACCATTCATTCGAAATTTTTATTCTATTCCTCTTCTACAATTTTTGTCTCTTAATTTTTTTTCAAATTTTTGTATATATTAATCATACTCGATTCATATTGTTACTGTGGTGAACACCACAAACTAATTTGTATTGGATACCACTATTTAGGAACGTGTTCAAAATCTTCACTTGAAGCATAACCAATTGTGTATGCAAAAATGTTAGAAACTTAGAGAATCATGAAGAAAACCTGCTCGATGATCGGAAGATAACCACCGACGTCAGGAAGAATAGTACCTATTAACTAGAGAGAGAGTGTAAAAATATGATATTAATCTCCTTGATTAGAATGTTGATACACATGTTCCTTATATACACTTAGAGTAAGCTAAAGGAAACTTTACTCCAACAATAACCATTATACATATATGTTAATAGCCCCCCTCAAGCCGAATTACTTATGAGGAAGGAAGAGGCTTGAAACACCAAGACGACCAAGTATGGATTTGAAAGGACCCGGATGTAATGGCTTGGTGAGTATATCCGCAAGCTGATTCTCAGTATCAACATGATGCACTTGTAAGAACCCAAACTTCACTTGATCTCTAGTTGTATGACAATCAATCTCAACATGTTTTGTTCTCTCATGGAAGACTGGATTATTCGCAATGTGCATTGCAGATTTATTGTCACAGAATAACTTGGCCTTTGTTTCAACCTCAATATGTAAATCTTTCAACATGTAACTGAACCAGAGAAGATCCTTTGTAGCTTGAGCCATGCTGCGATACTCAGCCTCTGTACTACTACCACTGCAAACCTCTTGTTTCTTAGACTTCCATGAAATCAAAGAAGTTCCAAGAAATATACAAACTCCAGATACTGAGCGTCTTGAATCCAAACAGGTTCCCCAGTCAGCATCAGCAAAGCCATTGAGGCAAATATCTGTTTTAGCAGAGTAGAATAGTCCTTGACCAGGATTACCTTTAAGGTACTTCAAAACATTCTGAGCTGCATGCATATGCACATCAGTAGCACATGAGAGAAAACGACTCAGCTTATGTACCGCAAAGGTAATGTCTGGCCGAGTTACACAAAGGTATAGAAGGCGGCCTATCAATTCCCTGTATGATGTTGCATTCTCAAGTAATGTACCAGTCTCTGTTGTTAGAGAAACTTTTGGATCCATAGGTACAGAACGAGGTTTACAGCCCAATAATCCTGCATCAGTAAGAAGGTCCAGGCAATATTTCCTTTGACAAACAGAGATGCCTTCTGAATTCCTAGCAATCTCAAGACCAAGAAAGAATCTAGCCTGACCTAGATCTTTTATCTTAAAATGATCTGCAAGATGTGCTTTGACTGAAGTAACATGCTCATTATCATTACTGACAATGAGAATGTCATCAACATACACAAGAATGGCAATGAATGATGTACCTTGCAGCCTGACAAACAGTGTTTCATCTGAGTGAGATTGAACGAATCCTGCATCCAAAAGTGCTTTAGAAAGACACTTATACCATTGACGAGACGCCTGTTTCAATCCATAGATGGACTTATGAAGCTTGCAGACTGGATTAGGAGGAAGAGAACCAGAAACTGGTGTATAACCCTGCGGCAAACTCATATAAATTTCTTCATCAAGCTCACTATGCAGGAAAGCGTTAGTAACATCCATCTGAGTTAAGCTCCAAGCCTTCTTAGCAGCTAAACCAAGTATTAATTTGACACTGGCCAATTTAGCAACTGGTGAGAAAGTGTCAAAATAATCCACTCCTTCTTGCTGAGTGAATCCCTTTGCTACTAAACGCGCCTTGTACCTTTCAACAGTACCATCAGGATTGTATTTAATCGTGTAAACCCACTTACACCCAACAACATTCTTCCCTGGAGGCAAAGACACAAAACTCCAAGTTTTATTCAATTCTATAGCCTCAAGTTCCACATCCATCGCTTTAGTCCATTGCACAGATACAATAGCTTGTTTAAAGGTTTTGGGTTCTGTTTCAATGGAGTAAGAAAGAGTAAAAGCCTGATATGGGGATTTTAAGGCAGAGTAGGATAAAACAGAAGAAATGGGATATGGTGTGGTAAAGACTTTGAGTGGAGGGAAAGATTTTTTAGGTGGAGAAGAAATTTGTGTGAAAGAACAGTGATAGTCAGTTAAGTAGCTAGGAGCCTTACCTGTGCGTTTTGGCCGAGCAACAGGAAGTGAAACAACAGCAGTCTCTGTTGTAACTGTTTCTTGTGAAATAGGTGTGACACTAGAGTGTGTAAGTGATGATGGTAATGTAGATGATGCAGCTGAATGATCATTAGGCAATGATGATTGACTAGATGAAGCATGCATATTATCTTGCAAATCATTATGAAGATGAATAGGTAATGGTAAAATAGTGTTACTAAAAATCTCAGAATTTGAAGATGCTGGATTATCATGAAAAGGGAAAATAGTTTCATGGAATATAACATTTCTAGACACCGAAACAATGTTAGATTCAAGATGAAGTACTTTATACCCTTTATATCCAGAAGAGTAACCTAAGAAAACACATTTTTCTGAACGAGGAGTAAACTTTGTTCTATCTTTTTGTAAAGTGGAAACATAACAGAGACAACCAAAACATTTTAAAAAATCATAAGTAGGTTTTCTTTTTGTAAGAAGTTCATATGGTGATAAATTTTTGAGTAAAACAGATGGTAAACGATTTATAAGGAAAACAGCAGTTAACAAGCAATCACTCCAATATGCAATAGGAACATTCGATTGAAACAACAATGATCTTGCAACATTTAGTAAATGTTGATGCTTGCGTTCTACTACAGAATTTTGTTGAGGTGTGTATGCACAAGAGAATTGATGTATCATTCCATGTTCTTTAACAATAGAAGTAAATGCAAGCTCAAGAGCATTATCAGTTCTAATCATTTTAATGACAGCTTTATATTGTGTAAGAACATGCTTAATAAAAGATAAGAAATGTTGTGTAACTTCACTTTTATTCTTCATCATATAAACCCATGTTACACGTGTACAATCATCAACTATTGTAAGAAAGTATTTATATCCTTCTACAGACTCTATAGAGAAAGGACCCCACACATCTAAATGAATTAGATCAAATGGAAGTGAAGACAAATGATTATGAGACTCATAAGACAATCTTTTTTGTTTTGCTAAGTGACAGATGGAACAATGAGATGGATGTTTAAAAACAGACTTAGACAAAGAAAGAGTACCAGAAATGCATTGTAACTTGTCAGCAGATGGGTGTCCAAGGCGTTGGTGCCAAAGAATTCCATCAGCCATCAAGGATCCAGAGAATTCATCATGAGTAGAAGGTGGATCAAGTTGTAATATGTAGAGATTATGCAGAAGTATGCCTCTACCAATCGTCAAGCCCTGAATAAACTCCTGAATTATACAAGAATCAACATAAAAATGAGCAGAGCAATGATTTGTTTTTAAAAGACTACTCACAGAAATCAAATTGAATTTGAATGAAGGAACATGTAAAACATCATGAAGAATGAGTGAATGAGATAGTGATATTGTGCCCGTGTGTGTGATATTTACTCTAGTGTCATTAGGAAGTGAAACAGTTACTCCAGAAACTGTAGTAGTTTCACCAAACATTGCTAAGTCAGAACACACATGTGTAGTAGCACCACTATCTATAATCCAACTACCATGAGGAAGATTAGAGTATAAAGATGAGAGACATTGATGTTGGAATGTTAATTGATCATTTTCATATCGAAGAGATGAAGAAGGAAAAGGAATTATACCCGATGATGATTGAACAGCCATTATACCATGTTCTGTGACTTTTGATGTGGATGGGGAAGGTGCCAAAGGCTCTGAAACTTGAATATGACTTGAGAGTTGTTGAATCAATGTCTGAATTTGATCTCCATTCAGCTTGCTAATATCCAAATTCATAGCATCTATTGCTGATGGTGGAGTATAGGGAATAGGACTAGTCATCACATTGGCAACTGAATGAGGTCTAGAGACAGTGTTTGGAGAATATCCTCTAGGCTGGAAATTAGATGGAGCAGATGATCTCTGAGGTTGATAGTTAGAGAAAGTGCTCTTAAATCCTGGAATGTAGCCGGGAGGATATCCATGAAGCTTAAAGCATTTTTGTATAACGTGACCAGTTTGACCACAGTGAGTACAGATAGGTCGTGGTGCACGAGGACGATATCCATTCTGAATAGCAAAAGCTGTATTATCCAGCTGACCTTGATATGAAGAAACATCTTGAGAATAATGGTTGGATGATCCAGATGCTTGATTTGGTCCTGAAGTTTGAAAAACTACAGGTTCTGATGTAGAAGGCTTAATACTTCTCTGTCTTTCATCCTGAGTCACCATATTAAAAGCATCCTCAATAGTTGGAATCGGTTTTAACATCAAGATGTGTCTCCTTGTAGACTCATATGACTCATTCAGTCCCATAAGGAATTTGGTTACACGGCTCCTCTGCTGCAGTTTTTCCCATAACAATGCAGCATTACACTCGCACCTACCACAAGTGCAAACAGGTAGCTCTACATAATTTCTATATTCTTCCCATAACGTCACAAGTTCAGTATAATAAGCACTTACATCCATAGCACCCTGTTGAATAATACTCAGACGCTGTTCAATCTCATAAACCCTAGGTGCATCATCTTGTTTAAATCTAGCTAAGAGATTATTCCAGATTCCCTCCGCAGTAGATATAAACAACAAGCTTTGACCAATCTTTTTACACACAGAATTCATCAACCACGTTGCAACCATGTCATTGCAACGTGACCATGAGCCAAAATCACGATGATCAGATGATGGTTTAGTGATAGTACCGTCAATGAATCCAAGTTTATTGCGCACATTGAGTGCCATTCGAACAGATCTTCTCCAAGAATGAAAGTCAGCTCCAGTAGTGAGACGATCGGATACAAGATTCAGTCCCGCATGATCTGAGCTGTGCAAGTAGAAAGGATTCTCATATTGATCAATCGATGGACGCGAGCAATCCAAATCGGAGCCTGATATCGCCATTAGACAAATTCAAGAATCGATGAAAAATTGATGTTAGAAATGAAATCGTGTTGAATATACGATCTTTCGTGATGAATCAGATAAACGAATCGATCAGAAAGATGAAAGAGATTTAGAGCAATTGCTTCTGTGATGAATGGAAAAATGATTCGCGAAATCGATTGCGATTATGATGAAATCGAGATCTCCATTGATGAAATTGGAGCTCGACGAAACAAGAAATGGAAGATTTAGGATGATAACGATGGTGATTTCATTGATTTGAGCTGAAATCGAAGAAGAAGAAGAAGAAGATGATGATATTGCGGAAGAAGCTTTGAGATTTCTGTTATAGAGAGAGAAAATCTCAATTTTGCTCTGATACCATATTAACTAGAGAGAGAGTGTAAAAATATGATATTAATCTCCTTGATTAGAATGTTGATACACATGTTCCTTATATACACTTAGAGTAAGCTAAAGGAAACTTTACTCCAACAATAACCATTATACATATATGTTAATAGTACCATCATCGAGAATCCCACCTTCACCTCCAATACCAACGGGGATATCGTCACGACCCATCATGTAAAGAATGTCGTATATATGATTCACTCCATGTCCTGCGTTTGTCCAAGCGTTGGCACTTAATGTAATCCCCTGTTTCAAAAAACAGAGCATTAACAGAATTAAAGAAACGTTCAAGAATAGAGTGTAAGAATGACGGCGAAGTGATGTGCTAAGGCTCACGACTAGATCGAATTCTGTTTTATTGAGCTTCAAGAGGTACAACAGAGCGATGAAGTCGTCTGTGTCGACATCTGTGTCCAATAGAATACGGTGTGGGCTAGACAGAACACATGTGAGGTCATGACCTAAGAGTCCAATAATGGTGACGACTAGAACAAACCTTTGTGGGTTAACCATCGCAAAGAAGAAGAAGAAGAAACTCAGAGAATTCTGTTTCTTGTCTGTATTTAAAATCAAAACACTAAGAAAAAGGACAAAAAGGTTAACAACAAGGTTACCATTTTAAGAAAACATCATCTTACCTTACACTTTTTAAGTAACTAATCTTAATATTATGATTATATATTTTTATTGTTGATAATTCTTATATATTTAGAACTAATTAATGGATAGCTAATGCGGGTTGAGGACTAGTCCTCAAACTTTGAATTATAAAATACGCATTAGTATAGAATCTAGACAATCAGATTATCTATGTTTTTTCCATATATATTTTGCAACATTTTAATATTTTATAGATTGAACACGGAAACAAATATATATAGAGTACCAGAAATAAATTTGATGAACCCTAGAAAAGGAATACACTAGTTAAAAGAAAACAGTCTAAAAACAAAATTGAATAGAAAATAATCTGGTTTATTCTTGTACATAAATCTATGCCAACATGTTTAGTCAGCTTGGTGGTGTGCTCCATTTTTTCTTTTGTTCTTCAAAGCTTCCTATGACTGCTGATTGTTTCTTATCATCGAGTCTAGAAGTAAAACTCTCAGAGAAGCTTCTCAGATCTACTATTTCAAGTATCTTTATTTGTTTGCCGCGCAGTTTATCAATCAATATCTTACCATCTATCGATTCGTCCCCTTCAGCGATCACTTTTAAGTGCTCAGCTCTCAGTTTCGGCTTCAATGAAGCGTGATCGCCTCCCAAGAAAACTGCTCCAATAATTTCCCCTAAGAACATGTCCTGCAACAACAGTTTCCGGTTAGGTAGAAAACCAGACGAGGGTCTTGATTGTTTTTTGCCTTGGCGTGTTTGAAAACAATCAAGGCCAGAATAATAGTTTTCTTATAATGACAAGAGAGGCTTTACCATGTGCGTGTATCTCCTGTGTTTCTGATGAAGAGCTTGCAATCTTGCAAGCAGCCGTCTCACAAACCGAGCTTCGGGTGTTTTCGCTGAGGGATTGAGTCTATTAAGCATTGGTTGGAAAGAAAACTTGCGTTGGGTTGCTAGAGGGATGAGTGTGATGTTTAGACCGGATTCAAGAACGGTCTTAGCTGCTAAAGGATCAAGAAACATATTGAATTCAGCATATGCATTCGAAGGAACCGTGAATATATTCCCTTTGTCTGATTTCTCAGGGTTTATATGTCCACCCACGATGTAAACTTCCTGCAATTTACAACAGAAGCCATCTATTAGATCTCGGATCTTGATGGAATTCATTAGAGAAAGTATCAGAAGTTCTTGCCTTGATTATTGAGGATGATTTTTTATCTGATGAGATAATCTTGGCTAAGCTAGTCAACGGTCCATTGGTTAGTACAGTGATATTAGACACTCCGTTACCAGATTTGGTTAGATTTTGCCAAACTTCAAGAGCCAGAGGTTGTCGGAGTTCAGGCCGATCAGTGTCCCTTGGAGCTCCATCTGCTACTGAATTCTCCGCAGTGTATCTGCATAAATATGTAGATATATTATCTTGCTTAAATGATATTATTATAGCATTGTATAAATATTAACAAACTTAGGAGTTTTTCACATCACTCATTATCAATTGGTTTTTTGATATACATATACATACATACCTGCGTGGGCTTCTCGGAAGGTCACGAGCAAGACCGTAGAGAGTGTCGGAATCCAGAAATCCGCCACAGCCTCGTGGAACAGCCTTAACGTACTTGCAATCTCCAACCGGTGGGAAAATCGGGTCGGATTGGTTCAATGCCAACATGTCTCCCAGACCGACTGGGATGTCGTCCCGACCCATCATATGAAGCAGATCATAGACCACGTCGATTGTTGCTGCATTAGCCCAACCAGTTGGGCTCACAATAATAGCCTTGCGAGTCAAGAGAGAGTGGGTGTTAGGATATTGAAGAAAACAGCATACTCACCAAGTTACTTGTTTAACAAGCCTAGTGACTTGTGTAATAAGAAACTGTTGTAATTGAGCTATTTGTTACACAATAGTTCCGCAACACGGATAAGCTAGATCTCTGTAAAATAGACCTTCAAATCGATTTCTTCCACCGGAACTTTGAGGAGGTAGAAGAGGGAAAGGAAATCTCCGGCGCTCATATCCATATCGAAAACAACAGGCTTTCCGAGACGTGTTTTGCTAAGATCTGGTCTAAACAGTTCTTCTTTGTAGTATGGAAACTGAGATGAAAAGTTAAATCTCCCCGTTTCTTCAGGTCTATTCAAAACCTGTTCATTATGTAAGAAACTCTGTTATATCAGTGTACCACAAAAAAAAAAATTCATCTAAATTTTTCCAGGTTAGATTTGTCTTAACATATGAAAACTTACTTCCAGGAAATCAACATAGAACTCTCTGTCAAGTTTACTTTTGATGTTTATGTTGGGTTTAGCTCGTGTCGCGACAAGAACACGAACAGAATCAGGTCCAGAGATCTCTTGTGTGTAACCATCCTAATGTTAATCATTAAAGAGGTTAAAATTGTATTGTTTACTCTGAAACAAAACCAAATAAGAGAACTAAAAAAAAACGAAGAGTATATTAAGGAAACACAAACCTTACACTTTCCTCTTCCTTTTCCGCTTTTCGGTAAGCAAGCTGGATCTCGCAAACCCATCTGAACATGACCACTATGAACTCCTCCAACGGTTAGGTTAAACTTTGGAGTTCTTCTTTTATCAAAGAATGGATTTGAGCCATCGGATCTTCCATAAGGTTTGTTTGAAGTAACAACGGTTATGTTCATATACTCCATCTCCGCGAAATCGTTCTCACCATTTTTGTTGTTACCAGAGTTTCTCATAATTGAGACTGCAACACCAGCCGTGAAAGAATCCCACATGAAGTAGCTCTGGAGAATATCACAAATAAAATTCAGAAAAAAAGAAGAAGAGAGAAACATTCTTGATATAATTTAGTTTGGTGAAATGGATTCACAAATGTAACCTTATAGAATTCATCGTCGAACCAAGTGTCTCTGGCGATTTTCAGAGATAAGAAAACGTATTGAGCTTCGTATGTTCTCTGGTTCTTCTCGAATGTCTCGAAGAACTTCTGGTTGATCGGAATAGTGTTGGTTGCATCTAGAGGAACCAGAGTCACTGGAACACCTGAATGAAACACCTGTAATAAACCAAAGACAAATGTTACGTCTAGTTTTGAAAGACCTAAGACAAATATCATATTTATTTATAAAACGTTACAGACTTAAGAAAATTAGTAGTTTATAAACCAAACAAATCCTTGTGAGAAGATTAAAGAGTAGGAGAATGAACCTGGTAAGAAGCGAAAGGATCAGCGAAGATGTTGAATTCAGCGTAAGGATTACTTGTATAATCTGTGAACAAGTTTCCACGGTTCCCACACTGTCGAGGTTGACATTCCGCAGCAGTGGAGTTCGCCGGACAGCAGCCGGTGGGGTTTTGTGACCGGACACCACCGCCCATGATGTAGATGTGTTGGATGTTGTGTTTCAAGTGAGGGTTTGACATCAAGAAAAGTGCGAAATTGGTGTGGGATCCGATCAGGATCACAGTGGTTGGACCTTCGGAAATTTTGTCGGCGATCACTTTTTGTGCCGTTGGTTGCCGGAGAGGAGTGTATCTTCTGTTCCCCTGTTTCCCCACAATTACATAACCAACCAAAAAAACCGTCTTTTTAATATTTAGTTAGATACTCGTTCTGTTTCACAAAGAGTGTTATTCTACCATTTTGCAAACAAATTAAGAAAAACATTTAATTTTTTTTTACCCTTTATTAATACACTAAAATCGTTTCTCTCTCTAATTAATAAGTTGAAAAAACAGATATAAAAATGAGATTTGATTTAAAAATCTGTATTGAAAACACAAAACGATACTCTTTATGAAACAAAAATAAAACCTCAAAACGACACTCTTTGTGAAACAGAGGGAGTATAAAACAACTTACAATTACTAAAATTTAAACAAATGGCTACTACCGATATTTTGAGCTTTTTTACTCTTATTTAAGACAGATTTTTGAACTAACACGAATTTTATCAAAAATATAATAATTCTGATATGAAAAATATCACTAGACAGTATATATAAAATACAGATTCTTAAACGTTCAAGTAGGCGTCTAAGATAATTTAGGAAAGGTTCGTAATATTTTGTACAGTATATTACTAAAAGTTTTAAGAAATTGCGATATCATTAAAAAAAGTGAATAAGGGAAACTTTAAATATTTACAAAGAAACCAATTATTAATCTTATATTTTTGTGTATGGATATCACGACACGACCAATCCTAAACATCCAATTATATGTGTCACTACTATATCGAAATCTTATTAGTTGCCGACAAGGCGACAAGTGTTTGGATGTACAAAGTCAGCTACTTCAATTGGAATCCCACCATTACTATGATTCTAATTTCTAACGACACGTGTAGCCGAAGAGATACCAACACAAATGTCCACACAAAACCCTCCACAAAGTTTGACAAAGTATAAAAAGATTCTAATGGTGGTTGCAATTAAAAGTAGCTTAGTTGGTGCGATGGGATCATGCGATCTATATGATATAAAATATAGCTAATATAGTTCTTTAGATAACCGACGCTATTATAGTTATAGTGTATACTTAATACGATCAGTGTAGTTAAAACTTAAAAATAGTGCGGTGAAGACGTTTATGTTTCACAGCTCAATTTTTGCAGTTAAGTAATTTATATATGAAGTTAATTAAGAAAATCACTAATTTTCTAGAAACAGGAAATTTTCAAATTCATTGTTTTCGTTTTTTGAAATTTTGTCAAAATATAATTACTGTAATTGGATTTTTCTAGGGTCTTTGAATAGTGACGAAAAGTGTCTGTTTTTGTAAATTTCTATTTATGTATACAAAGTCAAAATTTAATAAAATACCTGAGGAAGAAACTGTTTACGAAATCCATAATTGGAGTCAATGTCGAGAAGGCCTCCAAGACCTTTAGGAATGGCTTGTCTGTATCTACATTCTCCTGTTGTCGTCATCCCCTAAACACACCGATTTTTACATTTTCAAAACCAAACTAATACCAAATCTTATTCAAGAAAACAAATAAGAAGAAGAAGAGACCTGTTCGATGATCGGAAAATAACCACCGACGTCAGAGTGAATAGTACCGTCGTCGCGAATCCCACCTTCCCCGCCGACACCAACGGGGATATCGTCACGACCCATCATGTGCAATAAATCATACACTTGATTCACGGCGTGTCCTGCGTTTGTCCATGCATTCGCACTCAATGTAATCCCCTGTTTCAAAAACAGAGCATTATTAACAGCACAAGTTAAACAAAGCTGGTGTGGGGGATTAATAAAGTAGCAACGGGCTTACGACTAGATCGAATTCTGATTTGTTGAGTTTCAGGAGGTAGAGTATAGCGAATAAATCGTCTGTGTCGACATCTGTATCCACTAGAATACGGTGTGGAGTAGACAAAACACAAGGGAGGTTTTGTCCTAAGATTCCAAGAATAGTGACTACTGTGGTGAACAAGAACCATAAACTCTTCAAAGTTGGGCTCGTCAACATCATTAGAAGAAGATGAAAGAAAGTTTGGTGTTTCTATTCCTTGTCTGAATCTGAAACAAACCCAAGATCTGTTTCACCAAATGGCAAGAGAAGCAAAAGATTCAGATCAAGAAATCATTACATGAACTAAAATCAATGAGAGGTAAAAAGAATGAGGAAGGTGGTTCTTCAAAGCCTTACAAATTAGAAATTCATCAAGCTAAGTGACGAATCAGCTCAAATCAAAGGAGAGAGACTGTTACATCAACAGTTCTGTGACAAGTTAACAAGCCTAGCCTTACAGAAACAGTTCTGTGACAAGTTAACAGGAAAACAAAGATCAAGAAAAGATAAACAGACGTGCAGATGCAGAGAGAGAGAGACGAAAAAAGGAAAGGAGATATGGTTGGCAACGAGGGACCATAATCGATAGTATTAAAAAAGAGAAAAAAAAACGTTATTGACATCTAAATTAGGTAATACAGTATAAAAAGAAAAGTACGGAAAAACTTGTAGTCAACTTCCTTCAATGTGTCTGAAGGTTCCCCCGGTTTTTTTAGTGTGACTAGTGAGGTCTTTTTTTCCCCTTACTTCTTTTAATTTTCCGGTCAATATTCTTTCTGCTCCTCAATAATACGTGCATAAATATATATTTTTCATGGAAAATATTTGGGTTCGGGTGAACCTCTCTATTCACCTTTTCTTTTTTTTTAACCAATAAAATTATGACATGTGATATTATATTTAAATAAAATAATAAACTAAATCTAAAATCAGAAAAACAAGGAAACAAAACTTTTACATAAACTAACGTCAATGTTGACGTCTTATTTTGACGTTAAGTACCTTTTTTAATATAATAGAGAGATATAGATTAAGGTTGGATGTATATCTTTGTATAAAATAAAAAAATATTTGGGTTTATTATTAGAGATGAGTCTTTTTATTTATCTCTTTTTTCTAACCAATTAAAATACTGATATTTTATTTAATTATTTGTAAAATTTAGTCTGCTACCAAAACGCAGTTACATATCAGTTCGGATTTATAAAGAAGAGTTAGGATATATATTTTATGATTAAACAAAGTCAAATATTGGTTTAGGTTTATAAACGCATTTAGATTTTACAATTAAACAAGTTTAAATATTGGTTTAGGTTTATACAAACGGTTAGGGTTTAAATTTTATAATTAAACGAGGTTAAATATCGGTTTGGGTTTATAAAGAACGGTTAGGGTTTAGATTTTATAATTAAATGAGGTAAATATCGGTTTGGATTTATAAAGGAGGATTAGGGTTTATATTTTGTAGTTAGACGTGATTATATGTCGGTTTGGGTTTATAAAAGATGATTAGGGTTTAGATTTTATAATTAGACTTGATTATATATCGGTTTAGATTTATAAAAGAGGAGTTAGGGTTTAGATTTTATAAATAAATGAGTTTAATTTTTTATTTTAAATGACATATTATGATTGGTTAGAACATCCTCATTGGTAAGTCTCTTAATTTGGAATCCTAAACTAATAAATATTAATATTTTAATATAATTCAATTATCTATTTAAAATTAAATATGTAAAAGAAAATTATACCATTCAAGAGTTGGCATATGTCCATGAAAACTCTTAAAGAAGGATTTATGGGTCCTTAAAGAAGGATTCTTCACCTTCTTTCTCCAAATTTTTAATATTTTATTATTATTTTTGAGAGAAACCCACGTTTAAATCCTTCCGGGATGGTCTTAGAACCTTAAGGTGAATAAAAACCCAAAATTGTTCATAAAATAAATTGTATTAAAAAAAGATGTTTGTAACGTCAACGTTGACGTTAAGTACATATAGATTTTGTTTCATTTCTTTTTTTTCCTGATTTTAAATTTATTTGTTTATTTTGTTTAAATGTGTCATATTTTTATTGGTTAAAGAAAGAAGAGGTGAATAAAGAGATTCATCCCTAGGGGTGAACCCAAGTTTTATAATTATATTTTCATACCAAGAAAAGTTTGAATTTCAAAACACAAAAAAAAAACCAACCACGAGACTACCACCCTTTTAGTTACGTACATAAAATTCTGTTTAATTTTTTTTTTTTTAATCACGTCATTAGCGACATCATCTATGTGATTCTTGTTTATGAAAAAGGTTAAAAGTACATGAATTTATGTACCTAAAACGGGAAAAGGGGATTTTCACATTGTATCAAGTATAGGGTATGAGATTCAAATTTTATTAAAGTTTAGGTTGTAAAATACCCTACAAAATTGTTCAGGTATGAAAATCCACAGCTCAGACAGTACGGGTATGAAAACGACATCGTTTTGATACACGTCAGCGTACACGTGTACGATGACTCAGCACCGTAACGGAGTTGACTAACACCCGTTAGATTGACTCCGATTTTTGCCCGTTGTATCAAGTATAGGTATGAGATTCAAATTTTATTGAAGTTTAGGTTGTAAAATACCCTACGAAATTGTCCAGGTATAAAAATCAACGGTGCAGATAATACGGGTATGAAAATCCCCTTTTTCCTACCTAAAACTTAATATTCACAAATTGAATTTTGGTTCCACGTACATCCGACCATAAATGAAAATTTTGAAGAGTAAAAAAAAATTAACATGATTTACGTGCGTGTATTTATATATTTCTTATGTTTCATACATTTAGATATTTATTTTGGTCACCAAAAGAGATCAATATCTCTAAATTTCCTTGGTCACATGATATATAGCTTTGTGATGTGTTTACCAAGTTCTATTTTCGTTTAATTTTCTGGGATGTGATCGTATTTGTTACAAATAGACAAATAGTACATGAGATCGGATATTCATCAACGATAGTTTTTTTAATTGATATTTTTCCAACTTGTGATAACGTTTTCTTCTAAGTATTAGTCAAAAGAAAAAGATTCGGATCCGTCATCCAAGAGAGTGGCCATCAACAAAAGGAACAGATCACACAACTTGTGATTAAAAGATGTATACAAACTTTGAAATAGAATTCAGTGAGAGAGAAAATTCGGGAAATGTGTAACCACGAAACTCGTTATGGGGGTGTGTGTTTATTTTAATTTAAAAGATTTTCTCCGACATATTTTTTTGTTTGACTTGATTTTTTCAAACAGTTTACAGAAAAATAAAAGTGTTGACTTCAATAATCACGTGGAAAATACGACGTCTAGATCACGTGACGTGATCGGTTCTTGTTGGAAAGTCCACCGATGGAAGATGTCCACATATCCCAAGTTTTATTTTAGTTTAATGGAGTATAATTAGCTCTCCTTTTTTTGTATTTTTGTTTGTAATTAAATCGGTAAAATTATGCTTTTCTGTGACCCCTTTCTTCTAATTTTTTTGTTTGCTCAATTTTTTAAAAAATAAAGCAGTCAAAGTCGTTTTCGTAATGTGATGCGTGATATTTATTTGTAGGAAATGAAATGATGAACGGACCATTTACATAGGGAAATTGTTAAAAATGCCTTTTTTGGTGTGCTCTTTTTCAAAAATGCTCTTTTTAGATGTCTATTTTAAAAAATGCCCATTTTTAAATCTAAAATTTTTATAAAGTTTTATTAGGTTTATAAGGTACTTATGAATTGTAACTACTACTTGAAGACTCGATCCAAGTATTTATAAGGTTTTATAAGGTGTTTTAAAAGGTTTTACAAGTTATTTTAAAGGATTTTTAAGGTTTTTCAAAGGTTTTACAAGATATTTTAAAGGTTTTTAAAGGTATTTAAAATGTATTTATAAGGTATTTATAAAGTATTTATAAGATTTTAGATACATAGAAATGTAGTTTGTGTATGTTTTAATAATGTTACATACATATTTGGGTAAATCTTATATTTTTAAGAGTATTTTTTATAAAGTTTTATAGAAAGGGCATTTTTGAAAAGCGGCATTAAAAAATGGGCAATTTTGCAAAAGCTCCAAATTACTCCATTAATATGTATATATGGAAGACTAAATGAATAGAAGACTTAACCACAAAATATAGGCATGCCTAACCATTAGCTTATTGAATATAATTTTTTTTTTTGGTTAACAACATGTGTAGGATATAAATTTAGATTTGGATAATAACACATTGATGGTATATAGTAGTACAAACTATTAAATTATAAACTCTAATAGTGCCTTACCAAAAAAAAAAAAAACTCTAATAGTACGGAATACCATTTCCATTAGCTGTATTCAAACTTTAATCCTCTACAATCGTAATTATACATGATCGATATTGATGTTAATTTCAAAGTTTTGTTGATTAAACTTGAAAAGGCTTAAAGCCCACGTAACATAAACAAGTCGGTTTATGTTTAGGAAGCTTCTAGATAGATTTTAAAGACCTAATCCTAAGTGTGTTAGGATTATCTCTCTATATAAGGAGTGCCAAAGATGTGGTTAACCCTAAGAGCGTTTTAAGAGTTTTGAGAGATTAGAGAGATTGTGAAAGCTTGGTTTTGAGTTAGTTTCCAAAGCAATAAAGAAAGTTGTTCTTTATAAGTCATAATCCTTAAATCTCAAAGTGTTTGATTCAATAATTGGTATCATAGCATATTGAATCAAGACACAAGTTGTGATACGAAAACATGGGAGACATAATCCCTGTTGATAAGCCGAAAGAAATCGGTTCTTCCTCTATACGATGTCCAATGCTCACATCCACACATTATACGGTTTGAGTCATGAGGATGAAACCGATGCTTAGGGTAAACAAGGTTTGGGATGCTATTGATCCCGGATCAACTGATGCAGACAAGAATGATATGGCGAAAGACCTTCTCTTCCAATCCATACCAGAAACCTTGATTCTACAAGTTGGTGAGTATGAAACTGCTAAAGAAGTATGGGAGGCCAGCAAGTCAAGACATCTAGGTGCAGATCGAGTCAGAGAAGCCAGACTTCAAACCCTCATGTCAGATTTTGATCGTATCAAGATGAAAGAAACAGAGACTATTGATGAGTTCTCCGGAAAACTCTCTGAAATAGCCACCAAATCCGCAGCTTTAGGAGAAAAGATTGAGGAGATCAAGCTAGTCAAGAAATTTCTTAGCTCCGTACCAAGGAAAAAGTTCATACACATCGTAGCCTCGCTTGAGCAAGTACTTGATCTCAAGAAAACAAGCTTTGAAGACATTGTAGGGAGACTAAAAGCTTATGAAGATAGAGTCGTGGATGAAGAAGAAGATCAACCGAATGATCAAGGGAAACTCATGTATGCAAATCATGAGTCTCAGACATACCAAGGTAACTATGGAGGAGGAAGAGGCAGAGGAGGTAGATATCCTCAAACAGGAAGAGGACGAGGCCGTTTTGGGAATCAACAAAACGGAGGATTTAGACAAGAGAGAGATAAATCCAAAGTAGTGTGTTATCGTTGTGACAAGCTAGGTCACTTCGCTTCTAATTGCCCGGACAGAATGCTTAAGCTCCAAGAAGCACAAGAAAACAGGGAGGATGACACTCAACAAGCTGAAGAATTGATGGTACACGAGGTAGTCTACTTGAATGAAAGGAATGTAAAGCCGAGTAACTTTGAAACACAAGCTGATGGAAGCA